AGGAGTAGGGGGGATAGGAGGAGGAGGAGTAGGGGGGATAGGAGGAGGATGAGCTAGGGGGGAGGAGGGGGGAATGAGGAGGAGGAGTAGGGGGGAATAGGAGGAGAGGGGGAATAGGAGGGGGAAGTGGAGAGGAGGAGGAGTAGGGGGGAATAGGAGGAGGAGGAGTTAGGGGGAATAGGAGGAGGAGGAGTAGGGGGGGAATAGGTAGGAGGAGGGAGGAGGAGTAGGGGGGGAGGAGGTAGGAGAGAATAGGAGGAGGAGGAGGGGAATAGGAGGAGTGGAGTAAGGGGGATAGGAGGAGGAGGAGTAGGGGGGGATAGGAGGAGGAGGAAGTAGGGGGGGGATAGCGAGGGAGGAGGAGGGAGGAATAGGAGAGGAGTAGGGGGGATAGGAGGAGGAGGAGTAGGGGGAATAGGGGAGGAGTAGGAGGGGTGGAGCCAGGAGGAAGTAGTAGGGGGTAGGAGGAGGAGGGAGGGGGGGATAGGAGGAGGAGGAGTAGGGGGGAATAGGAGGGAGGAGGGGGAATAGGAGGAGGAGGAGTAGGGGGGGGAATAGGAGGAGAGGAGGGATAGGAGGAGGAGTGGGAATAGGAGGAGGTGGGAGGGGGATAGGAGGAGGAGGAGTAGGGGGGGAATAGGAGGAGGGAGAGGAGTGGGGGGGGAATAGGAGGAGGAGGAGGATAGGAGGAATAGGAGGAGATAGGAGGAATAGGCCTTCTGGGAATTCTAGGAGGGAGTTAGGAGGATGAGGAGGAGGAGGAGGTGGGGCGAGGAGGAAGCTTAGGGGGATAGGAGGAGGAGGAGTAGCGGCGATAGGAGGAGAGAGCGGGATCCCTGGCAGGAGGAGGAGTGGGGCGGAATAGGAGTAGGAGGGGGATAGGAGGAGGAGGAGGAGTAGGGGAATAGGGAGGAGGAGTAGGGGAGATAGGAGGAGGAGGAGTAGGGGGAGTAGAGGGAGGAGGATAGGGGGGATAGGAGGAGGAGTAGGGGGAGGAAGAGTAGAGTAGGGCGGGCAATAGGAGGAGGAGGACCAAGTAGGGGGGAATAGGCCAGGAGAGGAAGTAGGGGGGAATAGGAGTGAGGGGAGTCACGGGGCGGGATAGGGAGGAGGAGTAGGGGTGGGAATAGTGAGGAGGAGCTAGGGGGAATTAGGAGGAGAGGAGTTAGGGGGGAATAGGAGGCAGTAGGGTTCAGGGGGAATAAAGAGGAGGAGGAGTAGGGGGGGAATAGGAGGATGGAGGAGTGGGGAATAGGAGGAGAGTTAGGAGCGTAGGAAGGAGGAGTTAAGGGGGAATAGGAGGAGAGGAGTAGGGGGTGATCAGGAGGGGGGTAGGGGGGTGGTGAGGGAAGAGTAGGGATTAGGCAGGAGGAGTTAGGGGGGATAGGAGGGCAGGAGTTAGGGAGGAATTTAGCGAGAGAGGAGTAGCGGGGGAATAGCGAGGAAGGTAGGAGTAGGCAGGGGAATAGCGAGGAAGGAGAGTAAGCGGGATCAGTGAGGAGGAGGAGTAGCGGGCGGGCATAGGAGGAGGCAGGCAGTTAAGCGGGGGGATAGGAGGCAGGAGGAAGTAGGGGAGAATAGGAAGGAAGAGTAGGGGGGATAGGAGGCAGGGAGTAGAGAGGGATAGGAGAGGAGCGTAGGAGGAGTGGGGAATGGAGGAGGGTAGCTAGGGGTTATAACGAGAGGGGAGGAGTAGGACGGGAATAGGAAGGGAGTAGGGAGGTAATAGGAGGGAGGAGTAGGGGGCAATTAGAAGGAGTAGGGAGGAAGGAGGAGGAAAAAAGAATAGGAAGAGAGAAAATCAGAAGAGAGAGAGAAATAGAAAAAAGAGGAAAAAATAGAGAGAAAAGAAATAGGGGAAGGATAAAGAAGAGGGAGAGAGAGAAGTAGGGAGGAAGAGAATAGAAAAAGAGGAAATAGAAAAAAAGTAAAGAAGAAAGGGAAATAGAGCAGGAGGAAGAAGTAAAGAAAAAAATAAGAAAAAAAGAAAGAAGAAGGAGAAGAAAAGAGAGAAGGGAAAGGAAAGAAAGATAGAGAAAGAAAAAAAAAAAAGAAGAAATAAGAAAAAAAAGAAAGAAAAGGCAGGAGGAGAAAAAAAAGAGAAAAAGCGAGAAATAGGGAGAAGGCAGGACGTAGGGGGGATAGGAGTACGGGGGAATAGGAGGAGGGAGGAAGTAAGGGGGGCAATAGGAAAGTAGGCAGTAAAGGGGGATAGGAGGAAGTGAGGAGTAGGGCTGGGAATAGGAGGGAGTAGGGGGGGGAATAGCGAAGCAGGAGGGAAGTAGGAGGGAAGAGAGCATAGGAGGAGTTAGAGGAGAGAAAGGAGGGACAGGAGAGGAGTAGGGGATAGCTAGAGAGAAGGAGGCAAGAAAGGGGGGTAAAATAGAAGGAGGCAGGAGGAGGAGTGGAGAATAGCGAGGAGGAGTAGCTGGAATAGGAGAAGGAAGGAAGTAGGGGGGATAGAGAAAGGAGGAGGAAGATAAGAGGGAAATAACGAATG